ACACACACACACACACACACACACAGACACGCACAGGGTTAGTCTGTAAAAACTGTAAAAATACAGAATGGAACTCAGATTTGAACTTAATTTTTTTTATTTTCTCTCTAAAATTTGACCGTCAGGTTTTATGGTTCTGGAGTTCAGCTGCTCTTCTGACTGATTACTTACAGACTCTGCTTCACAATAGATGGTTTTCAATGACGTCCTCTTCCAGGACTTTTTTACCCTCCGCACCCCGTTCGTGGGCTAGCGTTTAGCTTGTAGCAAGAACCACAAAAGCAAGGGGGGAAAAATGCAAAAAGGCCACTGAACGACGCAGACGAGCATGACCAGGATCATAATACTTTGTATTTAAAACATAACTGATGGAGAGCGAGCGACGTCGCCTCCTGTGTGTCGAGCCCATTACTCACAGAAACCATTTGAAGCCTGGTGCACCAGCAGGTCTTTAGAAAGSAATGTGGCAAAAACACAGGAGGTCATCTGTTGTAAAACACAGGATTTGTTTCATTTAACAGAAAAGCTGCTGAAAATGTGGAACGTTTTAAATATTTAGGAACAGTTCCTGACAGACTGAGCTTTATGGAAACACAGAATTTATTTTACTCACAACTTCATCTTAAACTGAGCTGTCTGAGTGTCAGAGCACAGATCACTGACCTGGGGTCTCACTGTTGTTATACTTGAGACCGGTCTTGGTCTGAAGACCACTTTTTCATGGTCTTGGTCTTGTCTCGGACATTGAGGACTCTGAATTTTATTTCAAGAACACAACTCTGAAAATATCACTAAATATCCAGATTATTGTCCAGTTTATTAGTTAACATTCTTGTTTCGTTGGATTTAAAATGTATCAACTGATTCAAATCCAAACCTGACTTATTGTCTATTTATGTATTTTTGTTACGGGCTGTCACCCATTAACCCCGCCCCAACTTGCACGTGACACTCCAGAAAAGTGAGCGTTAGAAGATGTCTTCAAAATTTCAAGTAAAACAATTTGACTACATGTATCATAAATAATATAATTGTAAAACAATAACAACCAGGAGAAATCATACAGCAACTTGTACATTCAGCAGTGCTTCACTTTCAGAGACGATGGAACAACTTTAAACTTTTATCGTTAACAATCTGCCTCTGTAACAAAACTCTTTCCTCTGCCCTCACACAAACATTTAGTTAATACTAGCTCTARATATTAAGTACAGAATACTCCATTTTTTAAGAGACTAATTTTTTTCTGGTCTTGGTTTTGACCTGGTCTCAGGTTAGGTGGTCTTGACTACAACACTCTGGTGTCTAGCAAAGAGTGTTGTAATGTTTCCTCTCTCTGTGTGGTTTCACTGTCTAAACTGCAAATACAAGAATAAACTCAATAAACTGTGACAACAGTGAGTAAAACAGTGTGAAAGCCTTTAAAGTATGTGACCCACCTGCACACTGACAGGACAAGGAGGAAAGCTCAGAGAATCAGTGCAGATATAAACTCTGGTTTTACTCACTCCGAGCCTCTGAGACGCTTCAGAGTTCCTCTGGAGGAAAGATTTTTATCAAATCTTTTATCTCAAACYTCATTATTCTCAGTCAAACTGAGTGATTGTGTGTGTGTGTCAGCTCGGTGAATCTGTTCACAGCTGAAGTGTTTGCTCAGCACAGGTATGTCAGTTATGGCAGCTATGATGATGATGATGATGGTGATGAAGAGCGGATGGGAACATTTTCACAGAGGAACTAACGAACAAACCTGACAGCTGCCTGGAACTCAGCCAGAGCACAAAGTGTGCATGAAGCAACAAGCATTCCTCCGAGGAGCGCCTCAGGCTTTCTTAGGCCAACAAAAGTAAAACCAGGGAGCAGAACCAGGATCGGATCTTCACCGTCCTTCAGGAGAACTTTGGTTTCCTGCAGCCGGTCCGATCTGAAGCAGTCCTAAAAACTGATCTCTGGTCTCTGTGGGTCTGTTCTGATCAGCAGCAGTTTAAATGTTTCATTTAAAACCTCACAAAAACTAACATCACCTCAAACAGCCACACTGTCCCCACTGTCCCAACATCACCAGTCCACTGTCCCCACATCACCAGTCCACTGTCCCAACATCACCAGTCCACTGTCCCAACATCACCAGTCCACTGTCCCTACATCACCAGTCCACTGTCCCCACATCACCAGTCCACTGTCCCCACAGTCCCCACATCACCAGTCCACTGTCTCAACATCACCAGTCCACTGTCCCAACATCACCAGTCCACTGTCCCAACATCACCAGTCCACTGTCCCAACATCACCAGTCCACTGTCCCTACATCACCAGTCCACTGTCCCAACATCACCAGTCCACTGTCCCTACATCACCAGTCCACTGTCCCCACAGTCCCCACATCACCAGTCCACTGTCCAAACATCACCAGTCCACTGTCCCCACAGTCCCCACATCACCAGTCCACTGTCCCCACAGTCCCCACATCACCAGTCCACTGTCCAGGAACATCTAGTCAGGTCTGTGTTCATTTGTGTTTTTGTTTTGTTTTTTGTGATCATGAGAAAATAATGGGTTAAAATAATATGCAGGAAACATCTGTTCTCGGCTTCCATATTGGATTTGTGTTATTACAATAATAAAAAATACGGATTGTATTATAGTTGTTGCAGTTCAGTTTGTGTCCAGCAGAGGGCGCCAGATTATTCGTTTCAAACTCAATGAAAAAACATTAGACAGGTTGATTTTATTTTTTAATCCTCTTTTTTCTTTCACGTTTTATCTCTGTAAGTGTTGATCTTATATGCTTTGTTTTTTTCTTATTTTATTGTATTTTACTGGATTTTATTATATAGGTATTTTGTTTGTTAATGTCCATCACTTAAAAACCATCTCTGCTCCCAACAAACTCAATAAGCATCCATGTTTGTGTTTGCACATCAAACAACGCTATCTCTCAATCATTACATAAATAATACTCTGTGGCCTCTGTCTATKTTTTCCCTGTACTGGAACACCGACTTAATGACTGAGTTCGACTCATTATGCACACCCACTCTGCTCATGAGTCTGTCATGTTTGTTTTTCTTGTATTTTTTCTTTTTCTGCATATGTTGCTGTTATTTTTATTTTTTATATCTTATCATCTTTATAACCTTGTACAGCAATTTTATTTCATTTTTATTTTTTTATTATTTTAATTACATTATTGCTGTTGATAATGTCACATAACAATACAGTGTTTTGTGGATTGATGTCTCTGCTGCTGCTGTTACACCTGAATTTCCCCACCACGAAACAATAAAGGCTGTTTCTATTCTATATTTATCTGTTATGTTTCTTGTTTTTATTGCATGTTTATTATTTCTACTGTGTTCAGCAAGTTGAATCTGTTWGTTATTAAAAAGATGGTTAGATTTGTTGTAGTTCAGTCTGGGTCCAGCAGAGGGCGCCAGATAATCTATCCTCTGTAGTTCAGTTTCTAACCAGCAGAGGGCGCTAAATGACTCCTCCTCACGTCCCACATCAACACGAGAAAAGGATCCTTCAACCAATCAGTGGGCAGCATCTGCAGCTCCAACCAATCAGCAAGCAGCTTCTGCAGCTTCTGCAGCTCGGAGCTGTGCTTGTGTTATGTCTTCCGCTGGGGTTTGATTATTTCTGCGGGTTGTGGTGGATCACAGACCGTCCTCCTCTGCCTGACCCGGACTCATGGAGAACCCAGGAGACCCGGTGAGTCTCGGGGCTCCTCTCTTCGGAGGAACGTCCATTTTCCCGCCTTTGTTTTGCTTAGTTTTGCAGGCACAGACAATCAAACAGATCGTCACCAATAATTGATAATCAAACAGGGATTTGCCCGATTAACCGCGGTGGCAGGTGCCGGTAATGTAAGCCGAATGACGTTTTGTTGGTCGACGAGTCAGACCCGACAGCGGGTTCTGTTAACCGGACCGCAGCGGTTCTGCAGGGTTGAAAGTAAACTGAAATGAGCAGAATCCTGGAGGGGATCTGGTGCACCGCAGTGCAGCTCTGCAGCTCTGCTCAGGGACAAAAAGCAAACACCTGATGAGTTCAAACCAGAAACACTTGATTTCAGTTTGTTGGTTGGATTTTATGGGTTTAATTACAAAGTTAAACAGATTTTATTTCTGCAACAGAGAAACTAAAGATCTGATTTAAACTTTAACTTTACTTCAATCTGACTGAGGTAAAACATCCTCTGAGGGAGTTAAACAGGTGTGGATCAGGTGTTAAACAGGTGTGGATCAGGTGTTAAACAGGTGTGGGTCAGGAGTTAAACTGGTCAGGATCAGGTCTCCTGTCTGTTTTGTCGTGGATGTTCACCTGTGCACACCTGTCCTCAGGTGGAGCGTCCATCCAGGAAGAGGCGGGACTCTTTCGGGATGCTGGACGGGCTGGAGGAGGACCGGAGCAGCTGCAGCTCTGACTCCAGCGGGGGCAGCGGAGCCTCCAGCCAGGAGGACAG